GGAACCTGGGGGAGTACGAGCCGCTCAGAGACAACATGGAGGGGGAGCCCTGGACGGATGTCCAGGAAGCGTCAGCCTGCGTGTGCGGGAATGTCTTGCTCCGGGCTTTAAAGCAAAGGGAGAAGCCGGTGACCCCCGACTTTGACATCTTTGGGGTGAACGTGGAGCAGGGGGTTTTGGGGGTGCTGGCCTGCCGCGCTCCCGAGCTGCACAAGGGGTTTTTCATCAGCCTGGGGTCCACTTTGATCGGCCGCCCGCTTGGTGAGTGCATGGCGATCTTGGAGAACATGGGGACCCTGATGGAAGCCAAGGGGAGAGGGGTGGCGAAGGATGGGATAGGGGTAAAGGGGAGGAAATACATCCCTAGGGGGACAATTTGGAGATACTTGGTAAGCCAGGGGGTGAACGAAGGAGAGCTAGACAGTCAGCCCACAGGAGTTTTACTTGCCAAGATGAAGAAAATCCTTCAGGAAAAGGGGATGAAGCAAGAGGAGATTTGGGAGAAACTGCAGCAGATGAATCCGCCATCTCCTCCCTCTATCCCAAAGAGAAAGCTATACCCATCATTAGGGGACTTCAAAGATTAGGAGTCCCAGCCCCTGGTGTTGGTGGGATTAACCTCCACTGCACTGACCTGGTAGGCAGGGGAAAGGGGCTACGTGCAGGTATGGTGTCTGTTGAAGGGGGGTGGGAAGTTGCTTTCTTAGTTGCTACAGGGTCAGAGACAACGTTATTAGATTATCGGGGTCCTCTGCTCCTGGCTAAATCCATCTGGATATTGGGAGTGGGAAGAGGGGAAAAGAAGCAGAAGCCTGTTGTGGGTAGGGGGGGATAAACTGGGTGGGTAGGGGGGGGATAAACTGGGTGGGTGGATAATTCTGGTAAAAGAGGGGCAAACGTTTTGGGAATGAATTTCCTGTCTCAGTTCAAGGTAGATCTGTACAAGCCATGCTGCTGCCTCAAAGTGGAGCGATCGCAGGAGTCCCCAAGTCAGTGAAGTGTGGGTCTGAAAGTAAAACAGAAACAGGGGTAGTAAATGAAGAGTATGAGGTAGTTCCAGCCGCAGATGCCCTCTTCCCATCCCAGTGCCCATGTGGTACTGAAGCACAGAAGAGTCGTGAGGAGGCTCGGGGGTGCAATGAAGGCTGAGTAGATTGGGATTTAGAAATCCCTGTTTTCACACTTTCTGTGGAAGTCCAGGGCTGTGGAGTATGTGGACGGTAGAAACCCATTGCAGCCTTGGAGGCTGGGCTAGATGAGCTGTGAAAGGTCCCTTCCAACCCAAACCATTCTGTGAATTCTGAATCCATGTTGGGTTATGCCTTTGACCCCTGGGAGCGGGCACCGCTTGAGCAGTGGCAAATTGATTCCGTGGGCCTGAAGGGAGGTTGGAGGAGGGTTTGTATCTGTTTGTTGCCATTGATGGAACAGCAAGATGGACAGAGGCCATGGCAGTGTGTGAGGCTACGAACATCATGGTTTGGTGTCGCAGAATCACAGAGTAGTAGGGGTTGGAAGGGACCTCTGTGGGTCATCTGGTCCAACCCTCCTGCCAAAGCAGG